CCCGTGCCTACTAAACGCGTTGCACGCTCATATGGCCGGCGACCACCGACTGTTTGCGGCGACCACCGACTGACTGCGGAGGCTCTTTGAGCCAAGACTTTTTCGTGCTACATAAGCTGAAATTCCTTTGCCCCATGTAGATCACTGGGGAAATACGAGGAGCTGAGTGAGCCACAACCGTCAATGCTTGAGATTTGAAACTATGCTCTCGAATTGGCGAAGTTCTTTTACATCGGCCGTCGTCGTCTTCCTGTTCAGATTTAGCCACTCTCACTTATTTCGGTAAAAATTTTGTTCGAACCTTTTCGTTTGATGAACTTCTGAGATCAGAGAGATCAGAGATCAGAGAGCAGGCCAAGCAGTGCTCGTCGCGTGAGTCTTAACGCCGCCATCTGACCATGCCCTGTTTGCAAGAAAAGGTCCCAAGAAATGCAATTCCATATGCCAAAAACCACCCCCCACGCTCCTACTTTTGAAGGGGTTAGTGTGGTGCTAGAAAGGTGGTAGCATTTTTAGCATATACATATATGTGTAATATAAATATGGCATATATATGCAACATATACATAACATATATATTTAGTATGCGCATGCGTATAAGCACCTTGTTTGAATGTAACACCTTGTGACATTTAACAAGGTGCTCTCCATCCTCTCGTGCTCTCCAATTCGCACTACTGCGGTGCTGTGCCAAAAACCATACCTTTCAGGGTGCTCGTATTTAAGCACCTTGCCCTGGCATCAACCTGTAGCACCCGGTTCTACTCTAAGCGCCGCGTGATAGCCTCTAACTCACTCCCATTTTAGCACTGGACTTCTAGATTTAGCCTTAGTAGAGCAGTACGGGCCACGAAGGGCGGATCTGACAAGCACGTTACAATAACAATGTAGACATGACACGGCGACTGAAACGTTAACATCCATCACAAACATACGGGACCTGTTAACCATCACTAATTCTGCGTTATCCTCACTGTACTAATCTTTGCCACAGATTTCAACGTTAAACAGTCCAAGTTTCTGCCACGCGATGAAGAAATAAAATAAGTGAACTTCTGCGTCGTGTATTTTTTTCGAGTGCCGCAAAACTGAACAAAAAAAAAGACACCTTGACCTGTCCTCGTGGCGGCCGGGATTCCCGTATTTCAGCGCGGCCGACC